CCTTCTGTCTCAGTGCCCTCTCTCCCCTCAGCGGCTGAAAGATGAGATAGCAGAAGTGACAAATGAGATTGAGAACCTGGGGTCCACGGAGGAGAGGTGAGTCCTCTGCTGTCGCGGCAGCCCAGGTCTCTGCTGAGCCCTGAACACCGGCTCGCTCGCACCGTGCGGGTGCCGTGGGAGAGCTGAGCAGTGCAGCCCTGTCCCGTGGGTGCTGGTGCGGGGGGCGTTCCCAGGCACTCTGAATTCCCTGGAGCGGTGGCAGGACCCCAGTCTGACCCGCTGCTCCAGAAGTCTGTTTTTCCAAGCCTCAGACCCTCTGTCTGGCCACAGCGACTGTCAGACTTTGTGGCTCTGAGCTGGCGCGGGTGGTGCCAGCCTGGGATTAGGGGGTCCCGGTGGCCGACGGGAGCTGACTCCCAGCATCGTTTCCAATCACCCACTGGGGCATGAAGGCCATCACCCTCACACCGGCCCCACAGGTGCCTGAAGGCTGCTCTCCCCACAGCCCTGCCGCACCCAGCTTGCCCTAGCCTCGCCCCGTGCAGAGGTGACCTGCCGGGATGCTGTACCCCCCACCCCTTCTGCACCGGGTGATGCCATGGACAGGGCATGGCAGCTCCTCTTTGCTCTGGGGCCCGGCGGGCTGAGAGCAGCCCCGTGCCGCTCTGCTGCAGAGCAGGGCAAAGACATGGAGCAGTGTGCCGGCTTTGCCCCGTGCAGGTTCCACTCGGAGGCCTGGCCCAGTCCGAGTTGCTCAGCTCCCGTTCCCTGCAGTGCTCTGCCCGAGGGGCAAGGGGGCAGGCAGGAGGAAGCCAGGTCCCTCCTTGCGCTCAGAGCTGCTTTGTGCCTTGCAGGAAAAACATGCAGAGGAACAAGCAGGTGGCGATGGGCAGGAAGAAGTTCAACATGGATCCCAAGAAGGTACTGCAGGGAGGGCTGGGCAGGGACCGGGGCAGCAGGCTCCATGTGGAGGGGCATTTGCCAGCCCGTCTGGGGCAGTGCAGGGGCTCTGCCACCTCACAGTCAGGGTGCTCAGCCCCCCGCTGGGGTCGGGGCAGAGCCAGCACATGGGGCAGGGGCTGGCAGCGGGCGGACCGGCAGGGCCAGCAGCAAGCCCCAGAGCAATGCCTCTTGCACCGCTCCAGGGCATCCAGTTCCTGATCGAGAACGACCTGCTGAAGAACACATGCGAGGATATTGCTCAGTTCCTTTACAAGGGAGAGGGCCTCAACAAGACAGCCATCGGTGACTACCTGGGCGAGAGGTACGCTGGCTGGGGGCGGCTCGGGTCTCCTGAGGGTGCCCCGGGCTCTCATCGGGAGAGACGGGATGCTGCAGCTCTTTGAGCTTCCAGGGCAGCTGAGTGGGGGTTCACGGGGGGCTGAGCAGCCCGTGTGCGAGGGCCAGCTGGGGGGCTGTTCCGTCCGTGGTTGGCACTTGCAAGCGGCCAGTGTGCGCAAACCGGCCTGGGACTCCAGCAGAGGGGCAGCTGCAAGTTTCTCCCCCCCCCAAAATGAGCAGACTCTGGAGCGGGGCAGGGAGACG